CTGCATTACATATTTCAACTATCCAGACATAAAGCTGGGCTTCTTCTTCAGGAAAAAACCCCTTTTTACCACTACCAAACGATGTCAAAATGTTGATAATAACTCACGAAATATTATGGGTGGTGAGATCTATTTAGATCCTAAAGAAGAAGAATCCCTCTTATCTGCGTCAAATTATAATCATAGCTATCCTTCAGGATCGCTTCCTTTGATTTGTAATAGCACTTCAAATACTAGACCGCATATTTCTCGTCTAAACACGTATCCTCCGATTTCTAAATCAAGTGTTATGCTTGAAAGTTGTCCTTCATCCGAGTCTCAACCGATTAGTACCATTGCATCTCTGAATTTCCCGAATTTCCAGGATAATAGTATGCCAAATTATATTCCTATTGCGCAGAATATTTCCGGAAATAGATCCGAAGGTATCAATTCAGGAAGTAAATCCTATAATCATTTAGTAAACGGATCAGAGAATCGTAATTCAAGAAATGAGCAACCTAATAGTTGTGATCCAGGAAATGATTCCTATGATTACGATTTAAGAGATGAATCTGGAGGTTACAACGAATCTGTTGATTATAACTTAGAGGATGGACTTGAAGATTATGGATCAAACGGTCATAATTTAGTTAACGAAACCGAATATTATGCGGCACCTAAAGATTATGATACAGGAAATGGACATGAAAATTTTGATCCAGAAAATAAGTTTTATGATATCAATGGTTGTAACTTTGGAAATGCAGTCGAAAATTCTAATTCATTGTCTGAATACGATGATCACAATTCAAGATGTGTATTTGAAGATTATAATCCGAGAGATGCATTCGCAGGCCATAATTTAGAACTTTCACCTGAAGGTCATAATTTAAACATTGGACCAACCATTTTGATTCTTAATCCCGATCCGGAAGTTATTAGCTTTGTTCTCTCTAGGTCAAGGTCAAATATTAGGTCAAATATTGGGTTAAATATTATAGTTATTTCATGAATTATAGCATTCTTGTTAAATTGTATTTTTGAGTTTTCTGTCGATTAATACCTTCTCATATTAAGGCCGTTCTAAATCGATTTTAATTAAAAACAAAAAATTGTATTATATAAAAATAGCTTTTAGAAAAAGCAAAAAGAAATCGATTCGGTTGGTCTTAAATCAAAATTTTACAGTACAAATGAATTAAACCTGATCTCACATTTTGAATATGAAATTGTAACATTATGATTGCATAATGAAATGAAAGTATTTAGGTAGTATTATAAAGAATTGCCATATAAACAAATTTGTTTAGGAGTTTAAAAAAAGTTTATTAAATTTTTTGTAAAAAGTTATTTCAAATTTTTATTTTTTAAATTTTATTAAAAAATTTTTTGCCAAATTTTAGTGTAAACTAGCCAATTTTTTTAATATTATGAAAGTATATATCCACATAATTTTAAAAACGTTCTTGTTGCAAAAGATGTAACCTTGTAATAGACATAGACAAATATAGTATTACGGTCGACTAGGTATATTACTTCTATTAACCATTCTACTAGAGTTGTTAATGTGATTTTTGGTCTTGTTTCTTCTTGGAGCTTGTTTAGCATTTTTTCTTCTATAAAACCTGCAATGTTTATCCCTTGCTTCTTTTTTCCTTTTCTTCTCTGATTTTTCTTCTTTTTCTAGCTTGTTTTGCTGTAGCAAATTCAGTAGTTACTTTAAATTGTATTACTAGAGTCCTTAGTGCTATTTTGTTATATTACCTTTGTTAAAGTTTTCTTTATTCTTGAAGTCTCTTGCTCTAGTCTAGATTCAACTTGGATATAATTTCAGCAGCTTGTTTTTCTTTTTTCTAGGCTTTTAACTCTAGCTTCAGCTTTGTTTCTGCAGCTTGTTTTTTTTTTGAAGAACTTGTAACTTCTTCTTTTCTTCTTTGGCTTTTTTTCTTATCTCATACTGGTTTGTTGTGGTTGTTTTGACCGATTCTTTAATTTGTTGTAATAATTTTTTCAGGATTGTTTTGTTGTGCTGCCTCTGTTTACTCTTTTTTTGTTCTTGAAGTCTCTTGCTCTAGCCTGCTTCTAATTTCAACTTTATTTTAGCAGCTTGTTTTGCGCTATTATCTAATATCTATCTTATCCTCTCAGCCATATCTAAATTACATATACCGTATATTACCGAATAAAAGCAACCAAAAAATTTCTAATTTTTGCAGGTCAAATTGATAAGGTTGCTTTTATTTGGGTATAAAGACAAATCGCACTTTTAGTCATGTGATTTAAAACTGCCAATCAAATCTCGAATCAGATATAGCTTTGATTGGTTGTCAATCATGCATAAAAAATTTTTAATACCGTAATCAAAAAAAAAACTATTGTTACATTTCAAATATTCCTACGTATAGTTATTGCTTATGATCTTTTTAATGGATTTTCAAATGTGGGAATAAAGTTTGTTTACATGCATTCTTGTATACCATCACTGGTGCAAAAAAAATTAGACGTTTGTTATCATATTCTAAGATAGAAAATGCTTGTGAAATTTTAGGTTTTTCTGGTTGTATTTGGAAGGTAAAAGCATGTTAGTAGGTACATGATGAAAGAATGAAAGACTTTTGAATGTATATTTGCCTTATTTAGAGCAAGTTCTTCTTGTGCCATTTCAGACATTTATATTAAAGTTCAATCAAAAAAAAAAAAAAATTCTTATCATTTTTTTTTTTTAAAAAAATGATAAAAGAAACTATAAAAAAGAAAGTTCATCAGTCCTATACTATTCAAGAAAAGATGATTTTTGTTCAATATGCCCTTCGTGAAAGTAATACTAAGGCCGCTGCAAAGTTTGGTTTGGACAAGTCTCAAGTTGGCTGTTGGGTAACGAAACTAAAGGACTATTAAGTGAGATTGGCCACAAAAAGTCCTGTCATCTTGGTGGTAGTGGTAAAAAGGGGTTTTTTCCTGAAGAAGAAGCCCAGCTTTATGTCTGGATAGTTGAAATATGTAATGCAG